CCAATATTAACAAAAATTTGAAATTCTTTTAGTATTACAATTAACTGTTTTCTGCTATTAGTTAAGATCAAATACCTGTTACTTATATTATACAATATGACTGAAAGGTCATATAGCATTTGTGCAATAGTTGTATCTTATATAAAGGAATACAAATTAGTACCAGACAGTATGAATCTGTAATAAGTCTCTATAACTATGTAAATCATAAAAACTAAAAAGATAGAAGTTTATTTGAAAGATTTTAATAGAAAGATAGTTTGAACTTTAATGATACTATTATAAAAACTAGACCTATGAAATAAAGCTAAAACTTGAGAAATTGAATAAAGACAAGTTGGTCTTTGAAAAGAGATTGTTATAACCAACCAAGTTTCTAAGATCTGTTTTAAAAGAAAAGATTATATGCTAGAAAATCATATAAATCAGAAATATAATTGTACTTATCTTTTTAAACTATTTAGACTAGAAACTTGATGGAACTTGAATTGAATACTAAAGTAGTAGAGATATATTTTAAAATAAGCACCAAGATTGAGGTGAACTTTACAAGCACATAGCAGTTTAATAGTACATCCTGATTGCAAGTAGTAGTCTTGACTATAAAAATATCAGATTAACTATAAAAATAAAATACAGAAAATTCTGAAAAGTTTAATACAAAGTCAAAGGTTTTCTATATAAGTGAACTGCTTTAAAGACTTAGTAACCATGACATATTTATATTAACATTAACTGAGGTCATTGATAGGCAAAAATAAGTGGATAAATACAAGAACTAGAGTGTTTAAATAAAGAATCTACAAGCAGGTCTAGGTATGACAGCTAGTGTAAAACCTTCAGATGAATTACTTAAATTAGACAATGACTAAAGTTGTATAATTGACTAGTTGTACACTCTTTTCATAATTGCCCTCTGTGATTGTAATGCAACCATTAACTAAATATACTATCAATAAAATCCTGAATCATAAGTACTCACCTTAATACTTTTTTAAAAAAAATTTATATCTTAATGAGTTTTTAACTAATTTTAATAATTTTGTTATCATTAGAAATAGAAAAACCTATTTTACAACTTTTACTTAATAATTCAAATTAGTTTATTTAATATAATTTTTATAAAATTAAATATAAAAAAATTTACCATTAAGTTTATATATAATGTTAAAATAGTGTCTCTCTACCTTTAATTTTACCAGCATCCATCTTTAGCTTTAACAACAAAATAAATGTTGATGTTTTTTTCAAACCGTTATAAATAATCTAAAATTATTTGCAACAATAAGCTTAATGCAAAAAACAAATAATCGCGAAGTTGTATGGCATCAATATATATATATTTCTGATTTAAACAGGACAGGTAAATTAATATAGAATTATGCGATTTCGATTTGCTATAAATTTTTCAATTTTAACGCACAGATTGAATTATAATAGATAAAATTTATTTACAAATGAATAGTATTTTCTATACGCATAGTCAAAATACTGCCAATAAATTAAAAGTGACTAAATGGATGCAGTATTTATTTATTGTGTTAAAAGTATGCAAGTTGGGAAAAAAAATTTAATTGCATACAAATGTTAATGCATTTTGAATTAGAATTACGATAGAAGTTTGTGATATCAAGTATTAGTTTGTGGTAAAAAAAAAATAAAAATAAAAATAAAGCTATATTAAAGTCTGAAAAATATGTATAACAAAAAACAAGTAAATTTAAAATGTTTTTGACAAGATACAATAATACATTATAACAATGATAATAGTTAACCTAAAAGTTAACAAGATAATGCTAGCAAATGTTCTTCAATGCCAATCAATCAATAATAGAAAAGCCAAATTATACATATAAGAACATGTCTAAACTGTCTAAACTATTCTCCTACTTCCAAACTTAACATGCAAATTAAAGACACTCATTTCATGTCGTTCATTTCCGAACTCACTTCCATCCTCACCATCAAACCCCATCCCATTTCCCCATGCATTGAGCAATCCTCCAAGACCACCTACAGAACCCCCTATAGTTCCAAAACTTCGACTCTCATAACTAATCCCAACAACACCAACATTCCATTTCCTAGCATATTTCATAATTTCATCCTCGACATGTTCTCTGTATCCATAACAACCACCTCCAAAATATTCGAGTCCTCCACAACATTTTGCAAAGAACTTTGATAAATCTTCATTTGTGAATAAACTTGAAATATCAATCACAAGCTTTTTCAACTGTTCAGAAGAAGTCGTGGCTATCTGTTCAAGGATTTGGCCGGGTTCGAGGTAAGTTTGAAATAAAGAACTTCCGCGATGATAAGCGCCTTTTATGTTTATATATTCAATTTTATGGCAGTGTTTCAGTATGGTTAAAATGTAAGGACCGAATAGATTTGATTTCAATTTTCTTAGATTCGGACAGTTCTCAGCGATTGTATTATCTAAGGATGGATAATCACTTAGATTTATATCTAAAATTAGTTCCTGTAAGTTTTTATTGGAACCTATTATGAAAGATATTAAGTCTGAGTTATACAGATAAGTAGAATTTAGTTGAAGAGTCTTTAATGGAGCTATCGAAGAAACTTTTTCAGTAGAAATGGGTTGAAGAGCGGGTTTATTTCGATAATCGCCACAGTAAGATAGGATCTAAGTTTCTAAATTAGAACATCGTGATAGTATGGAAAGCGGTAAGTATTTTTGGGAAGTGCAACCATCAAATTTCACATGACGTAAGGATCTAGTTTGAGTAGATAAGGAAGCAAACAAGGAAGAGAGGTCATAACGAATTGAACGAAGTTTAAGAGATTTCAGGTTCCTTTGCGCACGAATTAGTGGTGCCCAATCTATATCTTCTAGTATAGTTGAACAAGAAAAAATATTGATTTCTTCGACTTCATTGCATAATTGAGACATGATTTCAAGAATGTTATCTTTTATAAAGTCACCACCGATAGTAAACTCTCGGACAGAAGAAAGATAAGTATCAGCAAGAGTAAAAGTTGGTAATGAAACGATGTCACGAGAATATCTAGCTCTAGGAGTATATAATTTCAATGCATCAATTTTCAAGCAAGTTATTCTTGAACGAGTCATTAAAAGATTCCAGAGCTGATGAGCAAGAGTTGAAATGTTTGTTTTTATTATATGTTTTGGAGAATTGAATAATCTGGCATAAGAAGCAGCAGCACCAGGAAAATCACCAAAGGTGTAATATTCATAGCCATCATCCTTATTTTGGGTATCATAAGAAAGATTTGTTATGTCCAAGAATTCACCATTATCAAGATCACTATTATGCCTTTGATTCCACCAAAAGTGTTTAGAAGCTTTCCAAATTTTAGAATAATCTAATTGTTGTAATAATGCAGCATAATCAAACAACATAGGCCTTCTTGAAGGAAGGTCCAGATCGAGAGCAGCTATTGCTTTTCGAGCTTCCTGGGTCAATATACTGTTTATTAACGATAGTTTTGATTCTTGCGTCAACATATTAATATATGCTTTAACTAATTTGTATCGCTGATGTCTTTTACATATTGTAAATGATTGTTTCCATAACCAAGGAATTGCTGAAGAACACCAACGCCGGGAAACCAATGAGCATGTAAATAAAGTTGATGAATCATTCTGGAAATGACAAAAGATTTGATCAAGTAATTCAGGGAATAGATTCGCGGCCATTGTTAAATTTAATACTAGCTAGTGGAATTAATGTGTGATTCATATGTTTGTTAGCGTTGTGATTTAAACTTTAGAATACATTTGTCACACGATGAAAATTAACTATTTGGTACAACCTGATCAATAAAAAAATGAAATAATAAAGATCACGGGTAATCAATAAAATGATTATTATAACGATAATATTTTAAAATATTTGATATAGATATAATAATTGAAATAAAATAAAAAGCATACCTTAATAACTACGCAACAAAAAAGATCCAAATCGATAAGTAAATTCAAGTTAAAACAAGACGTTTAGTAAAATGATAACCCAACAAACCCAAACAGCTTTTAAAATTAAGAATCTGAGAAGCAAATACAGATTTAAGAAGAATTTTCATATAAAAATTTTTTTTAATATTTACCATATCACTAAATTATTCTACAAAATTGAAGAACAAATAATAGAAGAAAAAGATATAAGATCGCATAATACATTTTGTATATTTGCATAAATGCGGTTCGTAAAATTGAGTATGATTGGTTCATTTTGAAGATCATCGCTTGATTAGTGAGAATCATGGGGTAGCATAATGATGGGCCATGACACTATTATTTTTGAAACATCCAATTGGCAGATCATATGATATACACGACGACGATTCCGATACCACTCGATGAAGCGATTTGGTTAAAAATTTCCTAAAATAAAACAAAAGCAGAAAATTTTGAATGATCCCCATGAGAAAAAAACGAAAGTGGGTATAAACTGTCTCAACTATCCCTTTTTTTAAAAAAAAATTGCATTTTTTGATCTAATCCATTTATATAACGTTGAAATTAAGTATTTCATATCGTTATCATCTGTAGGAATTTTTATTTGTTTTTTTTTCTATGTATTAGATCATCGATTTCAGATTATCAAATAGAAATGCTTCCAATTTTAAATTCACAAATTAGCGTGAGCATAATATTTTTCAGACATTTTTGGTAACACATTTTTTTCTCCCATACGCAAAATCTTTTCACCAATGAAAATTTCGTATCTTGATTATAAATAAACCTGTTGACATATCAGGAAACTAATTTTTTTATTCTACGGCATTTTGATGTTAGTATTAAATAAGCAATTTAAATACTATACGTAGTAAATTTATTTGTGTATTCAGTCAACACTTAATTATACGTATATAAGTTACCATCCTAGCAGTAGTCGGACTTGGGTGCTCGTGTTGGATTCAAATATAGCGTTTTGATTTGCAATTGAATTGGTTATTGGGAAATACAAGAATTATGAAACGTATCGAGTACTCTGACTTTTTATCCAAAACGTAATGAGATCTCTTGTTTCTAGCGCGTTCATTGCAATACCCGGCAGAAAAATGTATTGCTATCTTCTAATTAATCTATTAAAATGGATTCTGAATTTTTTAAAAATCATTCTTAAAACATTATTTATACCGTAAATTCTCGAAAGAGCGTGATTTCGAATTTTGGCCGAATTAAACTTAAATCGGTCGAAATTCGAAATCTTAGACTAATAAGTTTTTTTAACTTAAAAATTAAGCTCGTATAAAAATTAGACTTTGGGTACCCACCCATTTATAAGACTATTACATGGGGAAAAAATCGTGTTTACTAAATCCATATCGGCTAATTTTTGGAATTGTACTAAAACAGATATAATTTGACATTTTTTAAACTTGAATATTTTTTTATTTACTGGTCTGTTTTGGATAAACAGCCATCAAAAATGTTCATCTCAATGAGACAGTAGAAAATCGTGAAATGAACATTTTGACGATTGTTTTATCCAAAACAGACCAGTAGATAAAAAGTTATTCAAGTTAAGGGTAGGATATATTATTTTAAAGTTATATAAACTTGATGGTATATTTAAACTACAGGTTTTTTTTTTATTAAGTTAATTGTTTTAAGTGTTAAATTATAACGATAAACCATACTTTTCTGATTCTAATGATTAAGATTAATAGGATTTGATCAATTAAAATTAGGTATTTTATTTCAGATGAGACCGTCCCAAATTAGGAAATGATGTTACACAGCTGGTAAAGACATTTTTTTATACGTTTTACATTACTTTTTTCAGAAGCTCGGGTTACCCAACCTACTAAGAAATCTGAACAAGTACACCAAGTAACTTGAAGCTTTTGTGCTGTACTTTCATAATATCTAGTGAATTCTTTTGAATCCCACAGCTTTTATATTGCAATTTGTTCATTAAAAAAAATGTTTAAATCATCTGAATTTAATGGTTGTATGGAATGCGGAACTACCAGTTTAGGAAAATTTCATACATTAAAAGACAAGAAGTGGAAAGAAGCAGAAAGTAACAATTTAATTAAAATAAAGTAAAAATATAGTAGTAAATTATGTAATGCATGTTATATGAAGTTTGTACAAAATCCTTTAAAAAAAGGTATCAAACAAATCAGAGTTGCAGTTGAGACAGATGTAAAAGTTATGATTAAAGAAAAAATAGAAGCTATGATTAGAAGAGAAATCAAAACAATTACTAAAAACAAAGAAGCTATTGTGGAGAAAATTATAAAAGCTAGTAATGAGAAAGAGGCCAGTGTAATTAATTTTGTTAGAGCAATCAAATCAATGGCAAGAATTTTTTACAAGAGAGAACATGTGCAGAAAGAAAAGTTCATATATTCATTTAATGAAATGAGAGAATTATTTTAACAAATTGAATCAAGTCTAAAGAATTTCTTCAATCAAATTTACTTAGCAGCTTAGTTATTGAAATATACTGAGCAGATAATAAATTATATAAAAAGATTGATGATATTAATATATTATCTTCTTGCATCTTTGAACAACTCAATAATTAATGTTTTTAAATTTAATATTGCATATTATTTAAATTCTGTAGATATAAGCAATAAAGGTTTAAATATACTAACAAATGTTGATATGTTTACAACTGCAAGAATGATAGATTGCAAAAAGAAAAAAATATCTAATAGATATAAAAAATATGTAGAGAATTCTCTTATAAAATATTCAAAAAATACTTTTATATTGAATATTAATAACTATTACAATATTTATATTTTAAGATAGTTAGATACAACTATTATATCTCATCTAACACATATAATAATAATTATAGTGAATCTATGTCAAATACTAGCATACTATATAATGAGATACTTAATCTAAAAATTATTAATTATGAGCTAATTACAAGACATCTTAATAAATGATTTATTATAAATCTTGGAATTCTATATTATGAACAAATATAAGACTATATAGGTAAATGTTTTAATAATGAACTAATAAAAAGACTAACATTATACAGTTATAATAACAGGTTAATAGAAAAAAAAAGAATAACATATACAAAATAAGATTCTTTTTAATTTTATTAAAAGCATACTAAAATGTGTTTAAGATTATACAAAGGTTTTTTAAATTGTATATGATCAAGAACTGATGCAAGAGAATCTTTTCAACTATACAATCTTTATCATTGCAAATTGGTCTGGTTAATTTTTTATTTACAAGATCATTGTATATTAAATTTTTCTTAAGAATGAAATTATTTCTCTATTTATTACTTTATTTTTGTCTATAATGAGTCCTCTATATATATCTTTAAATAGTTATAAACTTGTTTATATAAAAAATTTATTTTGTTTAATAATATTTATAAAGATATATTTGAAAAAAATAAAAATCTACCTGCGGGTCAATAGTGCAGTAGTTAGCACTCCCAGGTTGCATTCGCAAGGTTGCCAGTTCAATTCCAACTGGGGGAAAAAGCTGTGCTAGGACCACGATTGTTATGATCTTAAGGGGATTTCTCATTTCTACTTCCGGACAAGAATATTACAAGAATGAATGATC